GATCCACGACGTCAGGATACGCAGACATGCTATCAACCGAGCCAACCATCCGATCCATTCCAGACGCATTCTTACGACTAGCATAGGTAATCACCATCTTCCCGAGGCAAGGGAGTTAACTGACTATGAACGTCCAGTGGAAACTGTGGAGTGGAGAGGTTGTTGTAGGCAAGACACACCAGCAGCTGATTGTGTGAACGAGGATGATCAAGTACCCGTCCGGGATGCATTGACACCTTCCGACACATTGATTGTGTGGGGGTCGATTTGCGCACGCTTCGATCTCGTGTATAATAATTTGGGGTCTACATATTTGATTTCTTAACTCGGATACAGCTTTTTGGAGGCGCGTGGTGGACAGTTTTTTGTTCCAAAGAGGGTCTGGGTGCACTTAAAATATATATAAAAGTTGAATGGAAACAATGTTATAAAAAAGTAGCCAATTAATTGTTATTTGGGTTGAAAACATTAGTGCGTGAGTTGGGTTTAACGCCGCTTTTAACAGGGTTCCAGTTATATCACGGCGTGTCAGCTTAATGTGGGAGGAAAGCCCGAAGTGATGCAGGTCTCGGACGTTTACCACTTCGGCGAAACCCACGAGCACGGGTATGGTGCTGACAAACCTAGAAACATAATCGGGGCTGAAAACATTAAACCAAATGAGTTAGTAATGTGTCTTATGTACAGCGTGGTTAGTACGCTTCGGGAAGAGAGAAGTACCCCCCAAACTAGTGCTTGATAGCTCGAGCAACAAGGATTTTGTGTGGGGTTTTTTGCGCTCGATTGTCAGTATTTGTTCTCAAATCATAAACTAGGCTTTCTACATTTACAAACAAGTAAACATTGCGTCGAAAATGTATAATATTACTCGTCAAACTCGGACAGGTATGTATTTGTTCACGGAGTTCACGAGTCCGGGATTTTGTGATTGATATTACAGTATACAGACGAACGATAACTCAGAGGAAGCATACGATATAATAATTCTTTCACTTTCACTGAACTGTCTCATACTTAAAACGTATATCATTCTTAACAAATAATAATATGTCCCTATTTTCTCATTTAAACTTATTACCAACATAAATCAAAACTGTTTAAATGACTCGTCATAAGAAAAATAAATATCTGTATGATTTTTTGCGTACGTTTTGCGTAATAAATATAGAATGTTTACGTAAATATATTCATTAAATTAAAGAATTTCTTAGGAAAATGTTAATTCGTAAAATATACAGCGGGATATTGCCAAGAAATTATGATAGAAATTATGCCGTTTTTCGCATCATATAAAAGACTATCTATAAAAGTCCCTATTATATAATTATGTCCCCCGATTCTCACTGTATTAACTTCAGCGTTCCTACTGAAATAAATAAATTCAGTTTGATACAGATCAAAGTTGAACTTTTCACGTTACAAACAGAAATCATACACTAACAGCGTCTTCAGCGATAAATATAACACGTCAGTAACCTTTGACCCACTGACCTCCTAACCTCTGACCTGAACAAGATGGCCGACTTCGTGAATGTCTGATATTCCTGCTACATTTTGTGAGTTTATTTCGTTGTTTGTCACTCTGATCGCCAAAGTACACATGCGATTCGCCACATTGCGATACGGATATTATGATGCATTTAAGTAAGGTTTAATTTTTAGCAGCATCGATTGAAAGGCGATGTTTCTGGTCGAAACGTCGGCAGCATCCCAGCCATATTTTTTTTGGTTCATGTTTATGTTATGGTGCTGTTTCCAATGTTGTTGACTCTAAAACGTCACAATGTTATTGTTTAATTTTCGTCGCGATGTGTCAGATATCTATAATAAATAATCTATAATGTGTCTATAATGAATACTGTATGCATTGTTAATAACAAACTGTTAAACAAATGCAGTATGGTGAGAATATGAATCATTTTGTATGACTAAGTCAAGCAAATTAGCATTGTTACCATCCCGATTATGTACAACATTGTATTCATGGTGATGCTTCTGGGTTTTTATAATGTCACAATGTTGCAGGAAACATTTCATTGGTGCATTGGACATGTGTCAGTCTCACTGTGGGCCACATGTCCTGTATATACTGTCAAAGATGTTACATTGTTGGGTGGTGTGTCATGTATTTACTGCCAAACCTATGAAACTTGAAAGTGGCCAGTGTCTTTCAGATGTTTAGAAATAGACTAAAAGGAAATAGGATAAATGCAACTTTGCAACAGCTCCATTCAGATATGTGGTTCATATATAATTACATTTGTGGAGAAAATAAATCCAGATTCCACAAGACCAGCATACTTATAGGTAGTAACATTGTTATTAATTGAATTTTCAATTAAGTAAAATTTTCATGTTCATAACAAAACAATTATGCATACACCATTGTACAAAAAGTTGAACAGCAAGTCAATAGTATTACAGAAGGAGCTCACATAACACAGCACACTGAAATGTACAAATAAGCAGCAAAAGAAACTTAACAGTATTAGTCCACTTGTATATATTAACACCCTTAAAAATGGCATATTTCTCTTGATCCTAGAGACATAATCTTTTGAAGATGTCAAGAATAATCTGGAACTTGACTGTTATGATGTGTATGTCTGTTTGACTATGGCGACCAACAGAATCGGGTGGTCAGGCTTGCTGACTTGGTTGATGCATGTCATCGTATCCCAATTCCGTGGAGGGGAAGTCGGGTAGCCTAGTGGTTAAAGTGTTCGCTCGTCACGCCGAAGACCCGGAAATGTACAAATAGCATACACATTGCTTTGTTTTTTAACGCTCGTAAATATTTTTCTTAAGGAGGCCTGATATACATACTGAGTACTCCTAGCCAAAAAAAATGCTTCATGTGAAACACATATGTTAACAGTTGGTATACACAGAAAAGTTTGGGTTGATAATATAAAATGTTTGGAATTTTCTTCACTGTCTCGCCCTTTTTGAAAATTGAGGAAAAACATTGATAATTGGTCTATAGAGGCCTTTACCAACATATAGAGTTAATACCCTTTCATTTGCATACTTTAAAATAACTAAAGTACCGGTGTACATTTACTATTAGGTTGGTAAATATGTGTTTCTTAAGCAATTTATGAAATGGTCAGTCTATATTCTGTAAGTCAACAGCATAGGACCCAAGAAGCAAAAACAATACCGTATTCGACGTAATAAGCGCCCACAGCGACATTTTCTAATATAATGGCTAGTGAACAATCCCAATCAACCTCCTTCCGATTGATCAATGTACACAAGACTTATTTATTTGTGCATAATACGCACTCGTGTGTTATATCACCCTTAATTATGGGCAATTAAATTCTTGAAAAATATATCTGTCGTATGTAAACAATTCAGGCTGTTAGCATAAACCACGAAATTTACGATCTTTCAACTGAAAATAATATTCTAATAAGCGCGCCCTGTTTCTAATTTTGAGAGCGCCCTGGGCGCTTATTACGTCGAATATGGTATGTGTGATCCTGTCTTCCTGACTGACCATAATTTGGAACCCCTGAGTCACACCTTTTTTCATGTTTTTCTCCCTAGCTTTTACATATATCACCATACAGGTATTGTCCATATTTTATGCCCCCAACTTGACGTTATTGTGTTTAACAAATTAACCAGTCATTATAACCATTTAAAAACAGGCATTTTACTGACAAATGACTTTTTTTAAAAAAATAAAAAATGACTATAAACCAAAACCCCCAAACAACCCTTTATTTTTGGATGGACTGATATAGAAGACACCATATTTGTGTGTGCCCTTAGCAATGTGTTATGTATGTAATAGAAGATAGTTCCCTGCCATTAATACCATGCTTGCCGTAAAAGGTGACTAACGGGATCGGGTGGTCAGGCTCGCTGACTTGGTTGAAGCACGTCATCGATCCCAATTGCATGGATCGATGCTCATGATATTAATCACTGGATTGTCTGGTCCAGATTATTTACAGATCGCCGCCATAAAGCTGGAATATTGCTGAGTGCGGCGTTAAACAACCAACCAATCAGCCATTAATACCTGTCAACACAGGACAAAATGTCACTCTAATTATCATGATTATAACAATTCTGTAATGAAAGATCATTTCAGACACTGGTTTGATTGTTTTAATGAGAGTACGACTGTGAGCATGGTGAGAGATGAAGTAGGATTATGTGATATAATGTCCATTCATATGCTTGTCTTAAGAGGCCACTAACGGGATCGGGTGGTAAGGCTCGCTGTCTTGGTTGATACATGTCATCGTATCCCATTTTTGTGGATCGATGCTCATGATATCAATCACCGGATTGTCTGGTCCAGACTCGGTTATTTACAGACCGCCGTCATACAGCTGGAATATTGCTGTGTGCGGCGTTAAGCAACAAACACACACACTCTCATGTTGTCATGTTGTACTGTATTTTGTCATGAACATGATGAAATGTGCTTGAAACCCCCCCAAAATAATCCAAAGAGTTATTGATAAAAATATATATGATTTTAACATGTTTACTCTCATTTAGGTTAGACTAAATAGTATGCGAGATAAAATTAAAAATTCCAACCATCTGAATCTTTGAAAATGAAATTGTGTAGAGTTGCAAACTTCGCACATGCTGAGGCCAACAGCATCTATAAAGAATCTTGCTTTCTCCAGCTATGGGAAATCACGTGTTGATATGCCAAGTTTGTATGCGTAGAGAACAAACGCCAGTTTGGTCAATAATCTTCTTTCAGCAGTTTCGCCAGCAGGCTGCCCTAGAAGTTGTGTTGTTTACAGGGAAATCTTTTGTTTGTTGTTAATTGTCTTGTACAAACTGTAAATTTGTTAGAAAAGCAACACGAAACAATGCGGCCCATTCAGAGATTGTGTAGCGAGTCTACATGTGCCGAGAACACCGTTCACATCGCGTTTCGTACCGCAGGTTTCACTTGCACTTCCTACATCGTCCGGGTTTCTCCACACTAAGGGTCAGCTGAGGACACACAGGAAATGCTAATTTGTTAAAATCTTTATAATCTCGTTAGAGAGCACTCTAGATTGTGTCATTGTGGGGATTCTTTCAAAAGGACAAGCAGTTGGAGGATTTTTTCGCGAGACATTGGATAAAACCTTTGATTCAACATGTTACCAAGAAGGTAGGGATGCGTTTTAGTTATGATATATTCCTTATGACAAACTATTATTAAGTTGTGAAAATAAAGTGTGTTGGTTTTTATTAAAAGTTATTTGATGGCAGAAAAGTTTTAGTTTTAATTAAATAATTATGAAGTTATGGTTATCTTTTCAGGAAGTATCTTTCACATTGTTCATTATACATAAAAATATTTATTTTTATTATGTCTCCTGCTATCCTACTAACATAGAATACCCTCTTATACAATAGATATTTTATATATAAATTCAATGCATACATCACTGCAACTCCAAAGCAGAATTTTAATATAATTTCATATAAATAAATATTTTTACCTTGAGCAACCTTGTGTGGCAAAGCTGGAGTAAATCCATGAAACATAAGATTAAGGAAGTGTGGCCTAGGTGTGATGTGTGTATTTTTATGAGATGTTTAATGTCCCATTAGATATATTCTACATGGTCTAATCTGTCTGTAAAACAGCGTCCAACACACGTATCAAAAGGAAAACAGAATAACAGCTTAGAGCTTTGGGTCTCCTTTTCACATGTGCTCAGGAGGATATTCATAAAAGGCTCAGGACACCTTTGTGCGAGTGAGTGAGTTGTGTTTAACGCTGCTTTTAACAGTGTTCCAGTTATATCATGGCGTGTCAGCTTAATGTGGGAGGAAAGCCCAGAGTGATGCAGGTCTCAGACGTTTACCACTTCGGTGAAACCCACGAGCACCCCCCTGTAACGACCTGATGGATATAACAAACTTATTTTTGGTCCTTGTCATTTGCTGTATACAGGTCCATTTGAGTTCGTTATAACCGTAGTTCATTATAACTGTAGTTCGTTATAACCGTAGTTCGTTATAACCGTAGTTCATTATAACTGTAGTTCATTATAATCATAGTTTGTAATAACCTTAGTTTGTTATAAGCATAGATGCAGCATATATACAGAAAATGCCAAGACCAAAATATAAGTTTTTTATATCCGTCAGTTCGTTACAAGCGTGATCGTTATTAACATAGTTTACTGTATTTTCCTCTGAAAATAAACACACACTAAAATTCTAAGTCCTCACTGTTCTTATTTGTGTTCGTTAATTGACAGGATTAGTGGAATGCGTAGTATAAATATCACAACAAGGGGGCGTGAGTGGCCCAGTTGTATTAGGCGCCGCGATTCGCTGTTGCGTCCCTTGGGCACGCCAGAAACCTATGAAGTATGATCGTGGGTTCGAATCCCAGTTCGCCCCGATTATGTTTCTAGGTTTGTCAGCACCATACCTGTGCTTGTGGGTTTCACCGAAGTGGTAAACGTCTTGAACCTGCATCACTTCGGGCTTTCCTCCCACATTAAGCTGACACACTGTGATATAAATAGAATACTATTAAAAGCAGCGTTCAACACAACTCACTCACTCACTCACTCACTCACTCACGTCCCAGCATGCCCCAACATGGTCCTCCTGAGCAGGGCGCTCCATTCGGCAAATACGGAATATGATATGAGTATCAATTTAACTGCAAAATAATACTTTTCTTACCCACCTAGTTCTAAAATGCCAAGTAGGATGTGAGCGAAGTCATTTAGATTAAATGATGGTCGTTAGGAAAAGCATGTTCTGGTTAATATCCTCAGAGATTCTTATATCGTTGTAAATCTGTGAACAATCACTTCTTGATTCATTGATCTAAACAATGCTTGAATAATAACTTAAAACTAAATTACTACATATGAATAATAAAGGGTTTAAATATGTACTTGCATTTCTTGTTTTGTTTTGATTTCAGCTTTTCTATTTACCATCAGGATTAACCACGAAACAAGGACAAATACTTCTAACATTCACACATGACTTTCAACATTTCCGTAAATCTTGCTTAATTTCTGCTAAATCAGAAAGAATTTAAAGAAAATCCAAAAATTCAGAACCTCTGTCTCCTAATACAAGTTACCTTCCTTCAAAGCATTAAGGCTACTCTGAGGAGTGTGGGGCTGTTTATCACCTGATCACACTGCTACGCTGCAAATACCGTCAATGCATCTCTAAACCCCCAGCAATCCCACACTCAATTTTGGCAAGACCAAGTCGGGGGTCAGGCGCCAAAAAACAAAGTTTCTTCCATGCGAAGTCGGAGCTCTGACATTGTGATTAAATAGACTAAATGGAGAAGAGCATGCAGCACTCCTGGAAAAGCCTTGTAGGAATCTCTGAGAATGTCTGTGTATTGATTGAACCATAAAATCCTTGATTTGTCTGAGTCTAGAATGTGAATTATGCAAGGTTGTGTTTTAGCCGGGGTGTTTTTGTGGACGCAGTGTGGCTCCAGAGACACATAGCTTTCTCAGTATCAGTTGAAACACTTAACCAGATCATTACTCCTATTTGCCTTCAGGATCAGCAGTGATCAGGCTGTGACAAAACAGTTGTTGTTCCAAATGCATAATTGGTGCAGAAATCGCCATCGCCTTTTTTATGTGATTTTTTCTTGCAAAAGTAAAACTTGGACATTTTGCCACGTATTTTACCTGTGTACCTCATTTTTTGGTGTGCGGGGAAGGGGAAATAAGATTTAGAATTTTAATCATATTCCTTCATACCAGTATATATGTCCTAGTTACTAGTTATCCAAAATATTTATGAGCTTATAAAATGACATGAGCTCAGTGATTATCATAGATCCCTAACAGATGTTATATACCCAAGGATATAGATACTATGTGATACAAATTGTCAGTAGCGAGACATGTTGGAGAAAATAAAGAATGTTAGCTACAGTAAAAAAAAGTATTATGTCAGTTTTGTAGGTTGTCGGACCTCTGTAATTGACAGAATTAGCAGGGTTAGTAGAATCAGTAGAAACTTTTTGAAACAAATTTATATCAGTTTCACCTACTCAGGGACTTTCTTATACATATGGTAATGGCATGTTACATTAAACATAAGTGTAAGTGTTTTCTGGCAAAGAGTCCACAATCCAGTTATGCCAGCACCGGGAGATAAACAATCAAACACTTCCTGCTCAGACAAACCATCAACTCATCTCGGTTCACGGTGACCTGGTTGATGAGTTTCACAAAACACACGATCGTTATTTAGGAGATGAACTTCATGGTTTTTTTTTCAGATTTGTGGGTGTTGTTGAGCAATTGACATGTTTGATGCATGGAAATATAATTTCAAACTGAAAATAATTCAAAAGTTTTCTCAAATTTCCCCCCGCTCTTCCTCTTTCCTTGAATTCTGAGTGTCCTGAGTCACACTTGATGTCATACATTTGTGACATTTTTCAAACTTAGGATTAGGTGTAGGATGAAGCACGTTTGACGGTTTTTATGATATTTAAAAACCCGCTTCTGCGGGATAAAACCGCCGAAAGGTTTATCCGAAGGATACGGGTTTTAAATATCATAAAGACCCGAGGGGAAGTGTTTTACGTTAATTATATCATGATGTCACTGGAGGTTTATGTTATAAAATCAAATACTCACCAAAATAATCATATGCAGTAAAAGTTCCAGTAAATTTCCGGGTATCAATCTCCTTCTTCAACCAGTGAGAGTGTGCATTGACACAGTGATAAAACATGTATCAGGAAAGACCAGAGGACTCGCATCATGTAATACTCAAAGACTTGGTGTTTTTTTGTTTAATGCCGCACTCAGCAATATTTTCAAGCTATATAATGATGTTCTGTATATATCAAGTGTGGACCATTCAATCCAGTGATTGATATGATGTTTGTTTGTTTGTTGTTTAATGCCACATTCAGCAACATCCCAGCTACATGACAGGGGTCTGTAAATAATTGAGTCTTGACCAGACAATCTGGTGATTGAATTCATGAACATTGATCCACGCAATTGGGATACGATGACATGTATCAACCAAGTCAGCGAGCCTGACCACCAAGTCCTGTCAGTGGCTTCTTACAACAAGCATGGGTTGCTGAAGACCTGTTCTACACCGGATTTTCAGGATTGATATGAGCGTTGATCCACCTCGTTTGAGTACGATGACACCCAATCCAGAAAGTCACAGTGCCAGACTCATTTAGATGCGATCCACTTACGACCAGCACAGGTTTCTGGGAATCCATTCAAACTCCGAATTCCCACTGTGAGGCCTGGGTGGTACAATGTGGTACAGTGTGGTACAGTGTGTGGCCTTGCTTACAGTGTCATGGTGAGCTGATGGCTTGGGTAGATGCTCATGCTGTCAACCATTGGTTTGTAAGGTCCAGAATCGATTATTCACAGACTGCCTTGATACAACTGGATAATGACAAAGTAGACACAATTTTTGGATAACAACTTCTTTATTTACTGTAATGGCGACATTTCGGTATACATCCTTATACCGTTGACAAGCAAGAACTGGAGTGAGTGAGTGAGTATGGTTTTACGCCGCTTTTAGCAATATTCCAGCAATATCACGGCGGGGGACACCAGAAATGGGCTTCACACATTGTACCCATGTCGGGAATCGAACCCGGGTTTTCGGCGTGACGAGCGAACGCTTTAACCACTAGGCTACCCGACTGCCCCAGCAAGAACTGGAGTATGGTTGGCTGAGATGTTTACTAAAATTCACTCACTCACAAATTCACATGTTTTTTTGTGTGGAAAAGGGGAATATATGTGACCAGAGTCAGAGCTCAAGTGTTGTACAGATTAGTGTGCCATGGCCACTGAAAAATCTGGATATTCACTGTATAGAATATTTGTTGTGTATAACCTTTGTGACACATTGTGAATTTCTCATCAGCATGTGACAGAGTGTCACATTGTTGCGTGACAGGTCGACCTGACACGAAACCGCCTGACCTTAGTCTATGCATGGAGTGTGAAGCCTGATCTGTGTAGCTCTCTGTTGTGCACAGTTTTGTATTGGGCAGTTTAAATACGTGAAATTACTACCGTAATTGGATAGCAGTCTCAATTTCATATGCTATTTTCAGATACAGCAATACCAAGTTACGGAGCAAGGACAAGATGGGTGCTGAGAAGACCAGTTTCTGTGTTGTCAAGTACATCTTCTTCGCCTTCAATGTGTTCATCTGGGTGAGTATTGATGTTAATATCCCTGAGGTAGTGTTTTTATACTACTATCACGATATAACGTTTATACTAAGTTTTCCTATAATAATTAGATCCATAGTCTGTCTTACAGACCCTGATACAAATATATACTACTCAAAACAAGTTAAGGATCACACGATTCTTTCATATTGGTAATGTTAATCTGTCATGGCACGAGAGATTAACTATTGTAATATGAAATAATCAGGTGATCCTTAACTTCTTTTGAGTAGTATATATCAAATACAGCCCATGCAAGTCTATAATGTTTGGCAAGTCTAGATCACTGCAGTATCAGTATCTGAAAATGAAGAGAGTCACTGGACTCCTTTTTATTATATTTTTATTAAGATAACTGAACAACTGTTTTTTTATGTAAGATGTGTTCATTTCAGAGACTAGATGTTAGTCTATTAGATCACATCAAGTGCTTTTATGAGTTATCATGGTGTAATATTTATACATCATTTCATATAATTATAGTTTAGCATGTAATACTTATCATCAGGTAAAATGCATATAAAATATCAGTAGTTTCAGTTATAGCTTTTTAGATAGATGCTAGCCTAATAGTTATGTCTAGGAGAAGAGCTCCCATTACAGATACAGCAATTATTGGAGACATTCAAACGCTCATGCACGTGTCATGCGATATGACGTCATTGATGGGGGCCTATGGACGTGCAATGTGTTACTGCACGTGCATCCTGTGCAGCTGTACTCAGCATGTGCAACTCAAAATTCGCTGTCACTTTGGAAAGCATGATCTGTGGTCATTCAAAAATTCAAAACTTCTCAGGCGCAGACACAAGCATATCACAATCAAATCATGCCAAGATTGATAGCTGCACAGCGTCATGAAGCCATTGGAATGAACCGAGCGGGAATGAGGCAACAACAGGTGGCAACACATTTCCAATGCCATCGTAACACGATATCGGCATTGGTGAGGCGTTATCAGAACACAAATGACGTTGCCGACCACCCACGTTCAGGACGTCCCCGAGTAACGACGCCAAGACAGGACAGATGGATTCGAGTTACACATCTCCGACACAGGTTCCAAACGGCAGTAACGTCGTCCCAGACAATTCCTGGACTGCGCCGTATCCATCCCAACACTGTCAGGAATCGTTTACGTCAGTACGGGATTCGACCACGACGCCCTGCCATACGTCCCATCCTGACACACCGTCATCGAGTCAACCGTCTAAGATGGTGTCAAAATCATGTTCGCCAACCTCGAATATGGTGGAGAAATGTTGTCTTTACAGATGAATCTAGGTTCAACATTTCCCACAGTGACGGGCGCCAACGTGTCTACCGGCGTTTGGGAGAACGTTATGCACGCAACTGTATTGTGGCGAGGAATCGTTTTGGAGGTGGCTCTGTGATAATTTGGGGTGGGATAACAGCACGGCACTGAACCCCTTTGGTGGTTGTTCAGGGCAATCTCACTGGTGTTGGTTACAGAGATCAGATTCTGAGGCCTGTGGTCATTCCTTTCCTGCAACGTCATCGCCCGGGATTGACATTTCAACAGGACAACGCTCATCCTCACACGGCTAGGATCGCAATGGATTTCCTTCACCATAACAATGTCATGTTACTGCCATGGCCTGCAATTTCTCCAGATCTCTCCCCAATAGAGCATGTGTGGGATGAAATGGAGCGCCGTCTGCGTCGTCTTCCACATCCTCCAGATAACATCCGTGACTTGGCACAGGATTTGAGGAGGATATGGCAGGCCATTCCCCAGGCCTTCCATGCCCATTTGGTTGACTCCATGCATCGCCCATGCACTGCTGTGATTCACGCACAGGGTGGTCATACCCGTTATTGACTTTGTGACTTTGTCGTTTGACCCCCTACTCCATTTTGATCTCCTGACGTCATCGTAACAGATGTTGTTCAGGTCCCGTTGACATTTTCTTATGGTCCGATCATTCAGCTGCTACAGCGTCTGCATCATTTTGTTCTGTCTGTGTTGTATTTCAATCCAGAATATATTTTCTCCGTGCACAGTTTCTTTATGTGGCTAGTATATCTATAGACAGTATCATCAAACTTATAACCTCTTGCATTACTTCCACCTACTTCACCTGGCAAGACAAGATCTACCAATCTTCCCATGGGATCCCCGCTGTCTCCTATCATCACAGAAATCTACATGACGAGCCTAGAAGAAACTGCCCTCCATACATCACCTATCACCCCCCTCTGCTGGTTTAGGAAAGTCGACGACACCTTTGTCATTCTGACCATGACCTGACCATGACCCCAAGACCCTCCTCAACAACCTGAATGCTCAACACCCCAGGATGCAGTTCACTATGGAAGAAGAAGCTGAGAGACAACTACCATTCCTAGATGTAAGAGTACAGAAAGACTCTGATAACAAACTCCACACCAGTGTCTACCGGAAACCAACTCATACTGATCAGTATCTGCACCATTCCTCTAACCATCCACCGCAAATCAACAGTGGAATTATCGCCACCTTAGCCCGACGTGCCATCAACATCTGTTCCACGCCACAACAGCTACAAACCGAACTCAACCACCTCCGCCATGTCTTCACTAACTTCAACAATTACCCTACCAGCCTAGTTGAACAAACAATCAACAGCATCCTCAGCCCCAGAGAGCGGCCTCCACGACAACAGACAGCCCCGTTTGTCATCAGTCTTCCCTACAAAGGAACAGCCAGCCAACAGATCCGCAGACTGCTCAAACACAACGCCAACATTGATACAGTATTCCAGAGAGGCAGGACAATCCAGAACATCCTCAGTGCCAATGGCAAGCCCTCTACATCCAAGAAAGAAGACCCAACTGGTGCCGTATATCACATACAATGTGACTGTGGTGACTGTGAGAAACATCCAGGCCCCTACCCATTAGAATAAAAGAACACAAGACCTCAGTACAAAAAAAGGACTCAAAATCAGCCATCGCCAACCACACCCAAACCCCACCCAGAAACTTCGTCAGTACAAAATACGAAATTTGAGATAAAAATCACCAGACATGTTGATTTACCGTTTAAATTGTATTTTTTGTTCAGCTAGGCATTGTTTTATATCCAGGGATTAAGATTACCTTGTGCATTTTCTCGTAAACTAAGCCGGACACAGCAATCAGCTGTACACACGTTTTCTTGGAATCTACCGGTGATTCGGTCAAGACACACCCAATGATATAACTTTACAGGAGTTTAAATGCAAGGATCGGCAAAAATTGTATCTGAAACTATTTTTTTATCAGGAATAATATATTCCAATATCTTTTTAAGTTAGATGCAGCTTTTACTAAACATATTTAAAATAATAATAACCCTAAGTGAAGCAGCTGATCGCTATTGCCGGGTATTATTTTTTACATGAAAACCAGTCTGACCAGTCACCGTCAAGGCTCCCTTGCACGTGATCGCGTGATCACGAGGATTACGTGTTGACATAGAATCTTCCAACAAAAACAAATATGACTTTTAACGAATCAAAGTATGGCATTTATGATATATGTATCCATTCTCTGTCAACTAAAGTTCGTTTCAAGGCGTCAATAGCTGTAATCTGACCGTGGTTGCTGTTAATAACGGTGAGTTGTGCGATCTTCCGATCACTTCACACACGATTTCGCCGAAATTAATTAAAACAATATTAAAAGGCATTTTGAATAAAATTAATGAAATAAGTTACAAACATCAGTCCAGATATACAAAGAACACTTTTTATATAGCCAGACAGTGTAATTACATGAATAATTTGCAAACTTCAGTATGGATTTGTTGACATGGTATTTACGGTGTTACGTGCTCACAGTAATGTCTTTCCATGGGGGAAAAAACATCAAAACTCATTAATTCGTGTATAATGCGCACCCCCTTCTACACAGCTGTGTTTTTTGGAAAAAAAAGTGTGCACTATTCTCAAGAAAACAGGTAAGGCTTATTGATGAATTTACGCCAATTTGACTCTGAATTGGTCCCAATAAGCGCCCACCCCTTCTGTCTTTTTTTATGCGCCCTGGGCGCTTATTGGGTTGAATACGGTAATTGCTAAATCCCTATGTCCATCCAATTAATCCATTGGCTTCCATCATCTCTATCAGTCTGCTTGTTGACTCTGTGTTCATTAGTCATCCACTGGCTTCCATCATCTCTATCAGTCTGCTTGTTGACTCTGTGTTCATTAGTCATCAACTGGCTTCCAATTATCTCAATCAGCTCTCTGTGTCCACCAATCAATTTACTGTCTAAACTTTGATGTTAATAAATATATATACCTATGTTGTTTAGCACTAAAACCTAAATAACCACCTAAAACAACTTAAAAGACACACCACAGGCAACTGCCCCCACTGCAAACAACCCGAAACCACAGAACACGCACTCATCCACTGCACCCACTACCAAACACACAGAACCACACTACAAACCAACCTCAATCTAAATAAGGTTCCTACTCTAGATGAAATACTAAACCCTCAAAATAAACTAGAAAACTTCAAGGCCCTAGGCGTATTCCTAATCAAAACAGGCCAAATTAAGCGCATCTAAAAACTAATTAATCTACCAATTCAAAATCCAATAAACATACAAACACCCACCTCACCCGGCTCCCTTAGTTCCCTCCTCCACCCACCTCGGCAATTATTCCAAATTTTAAAATTTCAAAAAATCGATATAAGCAACCCCTAAAAGCCCCCTCTTGTGTTGCACACACCACTTTCACCCTTCTTGGAATACACTAAATGGTCTGGCCAGGCCCATGTGCGAAATACGCTGCAGTCGGAAAGCGCACGTTAAATCTTCTATATCAGTCAGTCAGTCAGCACTATTCATCACTTGCTTGATAAAGGTGTTAAGATCTACACTGAAACGTCGCACTAATTGTAATGAAGAAGTTGTTCATCCATAGAACTCGTCTTACTTTTATAGAGTTTGTTGCATATTTGTTTCGCTAAGATTTGATTTGTCT